AGGGAGATTAACCTGGGAGAGGACTCCCCTCTGGGGGTCTACCCAACCCTATCTGTCCTCAAAGCCTGCTTCTCCCCTGGCCCCTCAGAAGGAACCTCTAGGGGCAGCAAAGACCCTTTTAAGACACCTACTCCTCCTACCTCAAACGGCGACCCGGCTTGGGAAACCCTTGTTGAGGAGTGACTTGGGTCACAGTGAGTCAGTCCTCTCGCTGCCCAGGAGGAGAAAGGCTTAAAGCCTCACTCTGACACTGGCCTCCTAGACCCTTTTGATCCTTAGCCTGTTCCTCTGAGTTCCGCACCAAGTGCTCCTGTCCCGGAACACATGGTAGACAGTCGGGATGGGGAGCGGCCTCTGCCATATTGTCACCCCTCTCCTCACAGAAATTCTCCACCATCTTGTGCAAACCCAGAAAGGCCAGTGAAGCCACCATCTCATAAGACCAGCAATGACTTATCCCCATCGTGTATGGCTTTCCTGGTAAATGCTAACCCTGGGGGCCATAGACTGGCCTTTTGGTATCCCTGGGAGGCCCAAGATTTGAAAGAACTCAATAAAGGCCGTCTCCCAGGATGGACCTAATTCGCCCTGGGCCAAAACCATCCTCCAGGGTCTGGCCCACCAACAGTGCACCACCCAAGACTGGAAAAACTTAACCCAGGCCATGCTTCCTGGTCCCCTGTACCTGAAATAGTGTGCTTTTTAAAATGAGGAGTGCCACGCTCAGGCTGAGAGGAATCAGGCTGTTAATCCCCCGGTTCCTGTAACTTCTGGGATGCTGTCGGGGTCCAGTGATCAATTTTCCACAGGCCTTCAGCAGGCGCTATCCCTGCCCCCTGCCAGGAGCAGGTACAGGCTTGAGGACTGGCGGCATGGAAGAAGTTGGAGAAAGACCCCTCAGAGCCCCAGTAGCAGGAATTACCCAGGGGGCAACCGAGGATCTTCCCACCTTCATCCAGAGGGTAGAAAAGAGCCTCCAAAGGAAATTCCCCCCAGGGCCCCTTCGGAACCAGTTGTCAAGATGCTGGTCTGGGAGGGGATGACCACAGACCACAAACTAGCCTGTGCGGGGATGAAGGACAGATCTATGGGGAGGTGGATAGTGGCCACTAAGGATGTCGGTACTCAGGCCCACCAATCGTTGGTCGCGGCCTTGCAGGCCCAAACGGCTTTGCTTGCTGAGGCCCTTACTACTGCCCTGGCCTCTTCCAGTGGSGCCAGGAAAGGGGTTTGTTGTGGGTGTGGTCAACAGGGCCACTTCAAGAGAGAGTGCCCCCCCCCTGCAGGGCCGTCCCTCAGGCCAGGCTACAGGGCAAACCCCGCCCAAGACGCCTTGCCCCCGGTGTAGAAAGGGATTCCACTGGCGGAGGGATCGTAAGTCCAAATTTGATTTTGAGGGGAAGCCTTTAAACTAATAATGGGGCACCCTCCAGCCCTGTTACCCAAAGGAGGCGCCCCGCCTAGTGGTCCGCCTAGGGCCCACTGGACAGTCCCAATAATCCTGGGAATTAGGTCAAAAACGGATATCTTCATAGCAGAGAAAAAGATCCGCTGCTTGATTGACACTGGAGYGGATGGGACAGTATTTAGGAAAGAGGAGGTTCCCCCACAATGGAAGCTGRTTCCCRGRCCTCARTTATTGGGGGTGGKGGGTGATACAAGGTCTGAAGAAACCAAGGACTGGCTTACTTGGAAGGATGTAGATGGTAGTCMGGGAGAGGTACGCCCTCTGGTGGCRTCTGGCCTGACAGCTAATCTGCTGGGACAGGATATCTTGGGGGAAGCTGAGGTGTTCATCACCACAGATCACAAAGGGATAYATGAGGATATCCTAGAGGAAGAGGAGTACCGGCAACAGTTTGGCCTATCAGGTCCCCTKACCAATTACCGGGGGGATCCACTTTTTGAGACATMGAGGTTGAACACTCCTGCACCCCATGTGAGGTCTCACCCCCAATCCTAGAGGTGGAATACTACTGCACCCAGTGTGAGGTCTCACCCCCAATCCTAGAGGCCACTGTTCCTACCATCCCTGCCATTCAATGGCTTCCRGGCCCTCCAGTGTGGGTGGAACAGTGGCCGCTTCCTCTAGATAAACTACAAAAGCTAAAGGAGATAATATCAGAACAACTGACCCTAGGGCATATTAGGCCCTCCCTGAGCCCTTGGAATAGTCCTTTATTTGTCATACAAAAGGCCACAGGAAAATGGAGAATKTTACAGGACCTAAGAAAGATTAATGAGCAGATGCTTCCSGTTGGTACCCCCTTGCGAGGGCTACCCTGGATCCTTCAGGATCTGACTCTCATTGTGATTGATATCAAGGATTGCTTCTTTTCTATTCCCCTTGATCCCCAGGAATGTGAGAAGTTTGCCTTCTCTGTTCCTCTGTTAACTTCCAGGGGCCAGACCAAAGATATGAGTGGGTGGTGTTACCCCAGGGCACGGCCAATAGTCCAGCTTTTTGTCAACATTGTTTCACAAGTCCTRCAACCCCTTTGGAGGTGATTGGACATAATTCTATATGTTTACATGGATGACATCATTATTGGGGTGGTCGGATGCCAAAGCGTTAGGTTCCGCCTATAAGGAACTCCAGACTCTTACAAAAGGGAGGATTACATATATCTAATGACTAGGTCCAGACCTTACCCCCTTTTAACTTAGGTTGGACTCTGTCCCCTTAAGCCTCAATTACTTTTCCRGTCGTCCTATACCTTGGTGGAATTACAAAAACTGTTGGGAGAACAGGTCCCACCTCTTCAATCCCCCGGGGTCAACSCTAGGGGCCTCAGATCTAATGTCGTCTGGCAAACTGATGTGACCCACTATGCACCTTTTGGAAAATTAAAATATATATTTATGTCTATAGATACTTATTCCCATGCTTGTTGGGCAACTGCTCAGTCGGGCAAAAAAGCTCGACATTCTGAAAGCCATTTCCTACAATGTTTTGCCATTTTGGGATCACCCCTACAAGTTAAGACAGATAATGGGCCCAGCTTTGTGAGCAAATCATTACAAGAATTCTTCCAAACTTGGAATATTAAATACTCCACTGGAATACCATACAATCCAAAAGGTCAAGCTATAATTGAGTGGCATAATAAGACCTTAAGTCTAAAAATGACGGACGAGGCCTTTCTACCCAAGCATCTTCTGTCCCCTCAAAGTGGTCTTGTCTGACCTGATGTCTACACTGCTTTCCTATCTCCTCCTCCCCAGTCATTCTTTCTTTATACCCTCCTTGAGTTTCCTTCCTGCTGTGTTATCATCTGATCACACCTGTCTACTGGCCGGCTTGCTGTTTCCATCTGCACGCAATAAGTTTGGCATGAAAGTGAGAATTTTGTTCATTTTGCTTGTATCAGACCTGAGAATAGTTCTTAGTAAGTACAAAATAACCAAGTGTTGAAAGTCGAACTACCTTATTTAACGCACACAGTGGTCTCTCGAGGTAAGCATTATTTCCCTGTTGAATAAAAACTTGCTCAAAGCTGTGTAGCTTGTAAGTTTCAGAGCAGGGATCGAAATCTGTGTTTATGTTTTTACAATCCTTGTTGCTTCCTCATGCAATACCACCCATCTGAAGACATGGGGTTCTGTGAGGAGCAGCGTATTAGCATTACCCATTTAACCTGGCCATTCCCAACTCTACTCTCCCTAGTTGCAGCCCAGACATCCAATGTGAAACACCAGGTGCAGTGCACTGTGAATGACAAGACTTCAAGTGGTCTCACGTCAAGTAAGTACGATGCAAATCATCCAAGGAGAAGCCCCAATCTTGACACCAGGGAAGGCATTGTGCAGCGGTAACATACAATGAGGTACTCTCATGATTGGCTATTGTCCTTCGGCCATGCTGATGGGGTGCATTTTTTTTTCCCTAGACCGAGCCTCGGTATGTGTGGGTCCCTTCATGATGGTCTGACTTTCAGGTGGAAATGAGAAATCACTGATGGTAAAGAAAGGAGAGAGTCTGGGAGTTCATGATCCATTCCTCAAAAATGTACATTTCTTCCCCCGTAGACAATTCTAGCATCAACTAGGGATGATCTGGTKTTCAGCAATTGCTACATAACACCTTCCTTTTGTCTTTGCAAACCTCAGCCCAGATAACATAGAACGCAGATAACAAGAACTTATTTTTTTAAAGAAGAGGAAGGGAACTGACGCCCCAAGCCTGGAGCTAAGTACACCCAGAAMAACTTAGAGATGGGAAGCGATGCAGACAGGGGAGCCCGGGAGGAACAGTCCTGAGTCTGACTCACCACAAACTGGAAAAAGCAGGGTAAGAGATCGGACTGTCTTGGAAAAAAAAAAGCTGTGTTTGGATGAAAAGAAAACCCAGCAGTTTTATGCTAGAAAATGATTGTCTTGCACAAGGAAATCTGATTAGGCTAAAAAATACTTCCTGGTGTTTGTCAGATGACTTTRAAATGAACTAGACTAGGAAAGCAGTTCTCTCCTGTAATTGAATTTCCCAGCAGCACCCGCTGCACTTCACTTGAACCGACTTAAGAAACCTTTTCATGTGCAGTCCTGGGACAGCACGCATTCRGTGTAATTGACTATAATTTATCTGTCTCCTCCATTAAAACGAGAGCCCCTGGAGGGCCATTCTTGTTCCCTCTTATATTCCCACTGATTAGCATAATCTCTGACACATGGTGGTTACTTTTTCATGTTTGTTGAACAAACATTTAATTTTTAAAAAGGGTCTTGCAACATGGCCGTTTCCCACTTTTGAAGTAAGAATGAGTGGCGACAAAGCCTTATAGAATGAAATGCTCCCTCCCAGACCCAGAAAACTAGATTAATGTGACTGTAAGTGCCTCAGCATTGCAGCTTGTAGAAGTCCAAGGGAGTACTGTCAAGTCTGCATTGGAATGTGCGACAGGCCACAGAGCTGTGAACACCCGAGATGCACCGCCAAACAGCGTCAGCTTGTGACAMATTCTCCAGAGACTAGTGGAACTGACAGGCGCGGTGCCCTTTACCTCGTTTTTCAGGCGCTGGACAAAAGTTTGTGTTGCAGGCTCGGAGCACTGGTGGCTTCTGGTGGAGCAGACAACTGGAGGAAGGGTGGCCTTGCTGAGCACAGTGGACGGAGCGGGTCTGCACCCCTCCCCCGCAGGTGACTGTGCACTGCAGAGAAGGGAAAGGAGAGGGGAGTCAGCAGGGCCCTTCTGGATGCTGTCCTTTCTGAGGTCAGTGATGTCAAACAGAAGGAATCTCCACGTTCGTGACATTACCGAGATGCCTGCCGATGGAGCAGAGATCATTTGGAGCCAGGCGCTGACGGTCCCTCCTGACGTACGTGTGTGTGTGTGTGTGTGTGTGTGTGTCTGTGCGCCTTTGATCTGATCAGAAGGGTCTTAAGCAAAGGCTGTCTAGCCCGAGAGCATGCGTCTCCCAGTTAAGTGACTCATAAAGAAGAGAGATTCCAGAAGTAGCCTTAAGAACGCAGAAACAAACCCAGACACATCTAGGGAATGGAGTGCAGTATTTAAAGAATTCCAGACCAACTTTGCAGATGCCATAGTGGAGGGGGATAACTCTAAATTAGGACAGGAAAAGAAGTGATCATCAGAGACACTGGAATTACGCCCTCGGTCATTCCGAGTTAGCACGGGGGATTGGGTGCTTCCTACAAGCCAGTAACTTACTGTCCAATTAATGATGGTCAGCGTTTCTTTTTTTTACCCAGATAGGTGTATGAAAAGTTGATAAACCTATTTCATAAGAGGTATAAATAAGTAAGTGTTATCAGGAAAAAAGTGTAACCCTTTAAATAGATTTTGTTTTGCTTTAAAATTTTGTTTTGCTTTTAAATTTAAAATTAATAAATTTAAATTAAATTTATTAATTTAATGCAGATAGATGAGGCTTTGTTTTGGACAAACATCACTATATGACTTTGCATTTGGGAGGAAAATGTAAGCTGGGGTGGAAAAAGTGTGAGCTTGGGAATTAGCATAACATTCAAATAGTAAAACCTCTAACTTGGTGAGATAGTATAAATTTTGGGTAATAGGGGCTACATGCTCTCTGTTGCATGGACATAGCAATGGTCAGTGTGGGAGTGAATGTGGCTATGTTCTCATAAAAAAGCTTACCAAAAAAATGGCAGAGTCAAGGACACAGACTTGGCACCTTGGCAATTGTTGGCTAACCCTTGATCTCAATAATAATATAAGAATCCATTTCAAATGTGTAAATTATTAAAAACTCAGAGATAAAGGGCCTAGCGATATGGATAGCATACTGCCTGGCCCATGAGAAATAACCATGCCATTCTCCTTCATGTTTTACTTTCAGATCCTCCTGGATGTATGTGTGTTTACACACATACGTCTGGACTCACACATGCCCCTGTGCTTAGTGGTAAGGTGGGCAGCTGCTTTGAATGTGTGCTGTGAAGAACAAAGCAACTCTGCCACAAGCATCCGTGGGGACATGCTCTTCTCTCCCACTTAGCATCACATACCATCTAGCTCATAAAACCCAAACCAGTGACCCAATGTCCTCAGAAAAAGGGTCTGTCTCACCGCTGAGGACAGAGAATTCAGGTCGCTGTGATTGCTAAGAGGGTTGCCTCAAGGATTAGCTGAGAGAATGTACTTACAGATTTATTGCACACAAATGGTTTGGAAAATGCTAGATGTTATGGTATTATTCAAAACCAGGAGCTGTGATTGTGAGCAGCATTTCTAAATTAGCAGAGTGTCACAGACCTGATGTTAAGTGCTTTATACTCATTGCCTCACTTACTTGGCAAAAAAAAAAAAAAAAAGCAACTCTTCCAGTTTTTATCATACCAATTTTCTAAACATAAAAACTAAAATTTACAGATTAGGGTCACATAAGTAGCAAAAGCCTTTCTTCTTTATGCTTGGGCAACTGCTAATGTGCAAGGAGCAACTGTTGGTGAGCTGCCTCATCTTTTGCATCTCCCTAGAATGTCAACCTCCTACATCTGTATTCACTCACCCGTTGCCATGGCGACGTGTACCATCCAGCTCCCGTGTTGTACACTGGACAAGCCCTTCGGTTGCAGGTTTCCTCCAAGTCCAGGTTGGGTTTCTTAATGTTGCGGCATCTTCGTTCTGGGAAAGTTATCAGTTTTCCCTGGAAGGTCTTCTCGCTGCATTTCAAGTCCCTCTTCCTCACGCCCAAACCACAGGTTGCAGAACACTGGGGGCAGAGAGAGGAGGCGTGAGATGGCAGAGCGCCACTGAGCGGATGAATGTACCTCCCCACGGTGTCAACCACATGCCTTTTAGGGACTTAACGATAATCAGCAGAGTTCTGGATGCTACAGGCAAGGAGACCAAAGGACAGAGTATTGAAGTGACTTTTGCAAAGCTCACTCATACACACTGTTCATGGGGACTGAGAGATGCCATGTGGATGTGAGATAAAGTCCCCCAGCAGAAGGATGAGACAGAAGCACTGGTGACAGTCACACCAGGTCTTTCTGAGCAGCTGGGAGAATGAGCCAAAGAAAGAGAGTCAAGAGACAGTGGAGGGGGAAGACGCTTCTGAATACTGGTCCCTTACGTTCACCCTGCCTCTCCCTTGGATGAGATGTAACCTAATGCTGTGTTATGGCTGGAAGAAGAGAGAGAGGGGAGGATGGAGGTCCATGAAATAACTGGGAGAAACCACGTTTTTAAAAGTATTTTAAACAGTATTAGGGGATAATGTATGGAGCCTCATGAAGCCAGTTAATCAATGAAATTGGTATCAGTGTAAATATCACAGATGATAATGGGTGAAACTGAACGCTCCCCTTTCCAATGGAGCCAACAAGTACAGCTCCCTTGTACGGATGAGGCCAGCAGGGCCAGCCCAGGGTCACGCACGTAGCCTTCAGGTCATAATGTCTTTTAAAGAAAACGGATGGGGAGGAGGGAGACTGTGTTGCCATAACTGCTTCGTGGTATGGACCCGTTTACCATTTAGACAGAAGAAAGGACGGTGAGGCTCACCAAGCTCGCGCAACGTCCCACTATTATTTTTTTTCCTCTCTATCTTTCCTGCCAGACTGTAGACCCTTCGAAGCCGAGACCTCATTTGTCTACACTGTGTGCTCTGGGCTTAGATCCTTTTCCTCTTTCCTATGTCTATGAGTTCGGTTGCGTTTCCCAAGCCAGAGTTGGAGACAGCTCCTCCCTCTCTCCTAGCAGCACATGGGCCTGAAGGTACCAAATGGTCTCCTTAGGAACTCAAGGATATGGCTTTTCTCTGTCCCAAACACGTTCATCTTCCGTCTTCCTTCCTGCAGTGTCCACACAGGGCCTCCCCACCCTTGGGTCTGCCTGCTGGGGGCCTGTTCCCTGAGGGTTCCACTGTTCACGTAAGATTTCACTTGGTTCCTCAGTACTTGCAGGACGTGTTCCTAACCTGCTACCCCAGGCCTTATGACCCCTCTCCAATGAAGTTTCCCACCATACCCCCACCCTGGTCCTGTCCCGGCCCACTGAGTGTGCCATCCTGTCACCAACAACCTGCCCCAACCTCTGCATGACTCCTGCTCATCCTTCACGCTCCCTGGAGAGTCTCTGCTGATGAGAATTCTTCCTAAAGTCTGGCCCTGGTTGACCTTGAACTTTCTCAGAAAATTACAGACTTCTCATAGCACCTTGCCTACCGCATCGGTTTCCCTATGTGTGCTTTATGGACTTTTGTATCCCTTACCCAGGCACAGGCCTGGTAGGTAGGCTGGGCACTTTATTCATGTTTGAAACAAGCATGGAGGGGGAATCAGCAATTAGTAGATACCTGGTGTATGTGTGTAACCAGAAGGAGCCCTCTGACTCTGGATGCTGGTGGATGAGCTGAGCATTGAACCCCCTCCCCACCCAAGAGTGCAGCCGAGCTCATACCTCGCTCCATGAAGACGTGACCCACTGCAGCCGATTGTTTTTGGGACATCGTCCTAGCACACAGCCCTCCTGCACCTCGGGTCTGGGGATGCTGGCGCACAGGCTCTCGGGGAGGGTCTCTGCATCAGAGCTCTTACACAGGAGTTCACGTCTCCGCACTCCTCGTCCACAGGTCTTGGAACACTTGAGAAGAAGAAAAAGTGCTCTTGGCATGCTGGTTTAGTAAATGCTTTTCATTTGAGTAAATTTCATACCGATGAAGTGTTTGCAAGATTATTTGTAAGCATTTGAGCAAAATTACCAATAAAGTCCCTTACAGCAGGCGAAACCCACCTAGGGGCCCAGGGAAGACTACGTAACTTGCCATGATTAGCTTTGCCTGCCGGATATCAAATGGCTGCTGGTGACCCCAGGTCTGAAGATGAGTTACATTCATCGCACGGCACAGTATACGAGAAAAGGGCTCCTATCCATTGGCACCTTATCCACCTATAGTCGCATGTGTCTGTTAGAAGGTGCAGTGGACCTGGGTGCTTGACCAAAGAGGATCACTTGTGACTCCAACAAGAAGAGTAACAGCAGAAATGTGTGCAGACAGACAGACAGAATATAGGTGTGTGCTACATCAACAGTAGTCAGGTGTCAGAGAAAGGGGGCACAAGGGACTAGGTTCTTACCCCTGACAACTGTGCCCTCTGGGTATTGTCCTAATTATGGTGGAGACTACTAAGCACTCATAAAAGACCTGAGTAAATCTGCATAATACAAAGCTTCAGGTGGGCAAATTACTCTTTCACTCTTACTCTCAACCTTCAAAAGAATTCTTCAAAAGCATCTCCTTGCTTTCAGGGGAATAGTTACAAACTTGTCAAGGTCACTTAAAAAGACTGGCTCCAGGCTTGTCCTCAAGGAACGTGTCACCATCTTGGCCCCTACAATCTTATCTTTCTCTCAGAAGGACCATATGCCACAGCGGCCTCTCTTTTTTACCTGGGTTTCTTAACTAATCACAATCAGCAGGGTGCATTTGCAGCTTGCTCAGAGGACCAGTGTGAATTCTCACTCTTCGCATTCTTAAAGGAGATGACAATGACATCAGGGAGAATCCCTTCCATGTAATGATGTAATTTAGCAGGAACAACAGAGCCTGTATCACACAACCTTCTGACAACTTTAGGACCCAATCACTGTCACCCTGTTTTACAAAAGAAGTATCTAAGAATCCAAGAGCAGAGCATCCTGTCCAAGATAATCACACAGTTGCCAAGGAAGAGAGATCAGTGGACAAGTGGGTCTGAAGCCAGACCAGGGAGTGAACCATGGCATGTATCACTGTTTGCTCTGTCACAAAATATCTAAATGGTTAATTCTTTTTTAAAAAATTCTAATTTTATGTTTGCAATTCTATTTCAGAATGSCCAAATATGCGACCTGTTGCTCATGCAAGAACAGGTTGTGATACATTCTGAAGGATCTCTTTCATATTAGTTATGAGCAGGTTCTCGAAGAGACACATTTGGTTCTAGTAATCAAAATTTCACAAAAGAAATAATTTCCATGTTACATTTGGGGCAAACTCGATGAACTAACATGCTTTTCATCAGGGCCATTTGAAATTCACCAGTCTCCATTATCCATGATTACCATACATATTTGGCTAAAACAGTCCTCTGAATTCTCCCTTTGTAAATTATAATTTCCAACTGGAAAGAAAGAGAACAGACTCAACATCGTATACTACTTACATTTACCCTTTTTTTAAATTTAAAAATGAATGCGTTCTCACATTAAGTACCCCAAAGCATGCTCAAAGATATTCTTTCCCACCCCGGGATTCTTAATCTAATAGATATACCCCAACATGGGAAAAAAAAAGTCTTCCTCTGCCTTCTTCTGGGAATGTGGCACTGCACTGCTGAACTTCAGAAATCAGCCCTCTGCCTGACACAAGGACTSTGAAGGAAAGGAAGTACGGCAGACATGGGATCAGGGGCTGCTACGGGGCTTACAGTGCAAGTGACCATTCCCCTGCAGCTTTGAGCTCTTCTCTAAAGTTGGATCGCCATCTATGGATTGGCAGAGGATGAACCATCACCTGTAAGGCGGTGGTAAGGCAGGGGTCCTGAAGGAGGGAGACCTCCGACACTTAGTCTTTGTGGCAGACACAAAGCATCATAGGCACCCGCCTCTGTGCACTAGATGCCAGCAGCCTGTGTCCTAGGGACAAGCCTTCCCTCCGTGGAGAGCCTCTCCTTGAGAGGTAAATTCTGAGTGGTGAATGACAGATAGTTCAATGTCTCATTCAATTTATTAATGTTAAGCCTTTCTCTGGGAGTTTGTGACAGTAGTGAACTTGACACCCAGATCCTTTTAATTTGTTTTAACTCTCTCCCTTTTCCACCAAAGTGAGAGTTAACTATTTTTTCCTATGGTTTATTCTTTGCACTTATAAATTTCCATTTGCTTTGGAGAACTCAGTTGCCAGGTCTATGTACCAACTTCTCACTACACTTACTAGGCACACCTAAATGGCCCCCACATGATTTTCTAAACCACTAAGGAATATTCTAAGCTCGGGGATAGGGGATCTCAAACTTCAGGTCCCCTTGGAATCACTCAAGAACAATAGCTAAAATAGCTAAAAATGCAGATTCCCAGGTCCCCACGGTGTTAATCCAGCCTGATTCCCATGAAGATGCCAACAGCTGAGCTCCCCTGGACAAAGACACCTGCATGTTCACCTTCATCTTGAGTGGGGACCACGACCAGTGACTCCAAGTCTGACCCCATTACCTGTGACCAAGGCCCAAGGCTCCATTCTGGAGGGCAGGCATGGCTGTTGCAGACTTGGACCTGGGTGGGCGTGCTCACTGGGCAGAGAGAGTGCAGCACYGCCTCCTCCTTCTGGAAGGGCTTCTTCTGCACGCACCGCACCTTCCGGCTCTGCTGGCCCCCGGCACACGACTTGCTGCATGCGCTCCATTCACCTGGCAGCCAACTTTCAGCAAAAAACAAAATTACTTTCAGTGAAGCCAAGACTTAGTATTGTGACCGCTGAGGCAGTTACTGTGACAGAATAAGCAGCTGGTGAATACCTTAGATCCATTTTAAAACCCATGAGGGCAATCTGTACTAATTCTGAATCATATGCTAAGGTGATTCAGATATAAGGAAGCACCACATGGTTCTAGGAAAAATATTTCTTCTGCAGGGGAAGAAATACATGCCATCTTAATATCTGAGCAATTCTTCAGCCAAATTTATTGGGATCTTAACTATGTGTCAGGGCCTCTTCGAGGCACGGGGATTGGAAAAACGCATGAGGCACTGTCCTTTCTACAAATGTGCCTTCAACCCAGTGCAGAGGTGGGTGTGTGAGCAGAGGGGATTTTCTGATACATGCTGCCGTGGGAATTAACACAAAGCACAATCACAGGTGGGCAGTTCCCCAAACTACTACTTTGATTATTCTTAAAGCTTACAATTACTTAGAGATCTAACCTCACATTAATGATTGACAGACCAGTTCTTTTACAACTATCTAAGACTTGGTGTACACTGGAATGCCCATCAATGGAAACTAATCAWGCTCACCAGCAACCACTTTTGAATAATTGAACTTGTATGATTTTCAGGGAAAGCATAAAATAGATAGTCCAGATAGGGCTGTTATGCACTTGAATCACAGCAGCAATGTCTAAAACTGATCTTAGATTCTAAATATCGTTTTAGATAAGACCAAATATGTTTTTTAATACCTTTGAAATTCTGTCACTTTCTCTAGTCTCATAATATCTTCTTCTGGTTTCTCCTAAAAGCTTGATGTGTGAAATTAAAGATCTTTAATCTACACCATTAAGCAAATAAATTCTAGGAATATGAAATTCTAGGAATATCACATAATCCATAGTATCTTATTTAAAGAAAGATGATATCCAACAAAATGCTTCTTCCTATTTATATAATTATTTGTGTCTTATAACAAGATATAAATAAAACATTATGAAAATTATTTGTTTCAACATTCACTTCTGAAATGGTTTTTTTTCCTACTAAACTCAACTTTCTTCTATGGGATTAATGTGATGGTGCCCCAGCCACCTGCACCTTCAAGCCCAGACCCATCACTACTTTACTTCCTACACACATTTCGTAGCACATTGCACTGCATCTCAATGACTTCTTCACACACCCATCTCTTCCCTTCCACTGTCGATTCACGGACTGCAGAAGCCACACACTACTCATCTCCATACCCCAGTTCTCAGGGGCTTCGCATACAGCCAGTGCTTATGGCATGTTTGTCATGTGTGAAAGTAACAGAGTAAACCTTTGTCCTTCTACTTCTCAGGTCTAGGCATCTAAACCCTTCTTCCTAGTGTACCTGTGGGGAAGAATAGTCCCTGGGAGGGACCTTTATCCCAGCAGAAAATACCGACAAATAATAAGGTAGAGAAAAAAAAGAGCAGAAGTCCCATCGGCACACCACCTCCTCTCTACAGACCCTGCAGGAACTGTTCTGCTCTTAGTAGTGAGCATGTCCCTCACAGGACATCATGTCTACACACAGTCATCAGGGGAGTTCCAGGAGGCAGGCATGACCTTGGTGTGTCTTTACACGCACATACAGGAAAATGAGGTCTCTTTCTTTGGTTGGCTGGAATAAAAAATGATGGAGAGGAGGTTTCAAATCAACCAATGTGCCAGTTGCATGCTCTGTTTATCCCTATATGTCCACAGACGCAGACTTGAGCACACAGCATCATCTCCACCACCACCTCACGAGGTCACTGCACAAGGGTCAAGAGCACTTTCTGATAATTACATGTGAGAGCCTCCAGGGGATTTCTCAGGCTCAGTTATTTCTTAGCCAAAGAGGAAAATCCATAAAAGCCCCCTGCCCAGTTTCTTTTTCCTTTTGGTGTTCATGATACAGCTGGTTCTAGACCCTAAGAGAAAAACTGGGTTAACAGTTGGGCCTAGGGGATTGGTGGGTAGCTGAAACCCCAAACGATTTTGACAAATGCACCACTGGTTCCAAGGAAAAGACACACAGATCCATATATAAAAAGATCACGCCATATGATCGCATCACCCAACACCACACACTGCTTATTAAGAGGACCTGAAGCACTGGTGACTGTGCCATGGCTTTAGAAGAAACTGTCCATTTATATAAATATATTTGGCAGAAGATAAATCACATTAGACTCTAGTTGCCTGGGAAGCTTACTTAAAATTAGTGTTCAAACAATGGTGTGGCCAAAATCAATCAAAGAACAAACCCACTGAGCTCCCCACGGGGACCATCATTGAGGGGGTATCACCACTTGGCTTCGCCTTTTTGTGCCTTGCTACTATGTAATTTGCATTTGGGGTTTCACGGTCTGCACAACAGTATGATTTTTAAATTCTTGGATGACTTATATAAAAGTTAAGCACACAGCCACATGTACATTTTACTAATATAGAATTGTGTGTTATTTAAATATCTGTTTGATTCAGTTCTGAGAAGTGGAGTTTCTATTTAAAAGTTAAAAAAAAAAAAGACACTTTCACATCCCAAGATAACATTGCTCAAGTCAGCTGAGTGTCTAATGCAGACTAAGATTTTTACTTTTCAAGTCATAATGCATTCCTACCTTTTTAAAGTTTATTTTTAGTGCATAATAGATATAAATAATATCTGAGTTCATTTTGGCATTTTCATAAATCCATATAATGTAATTTCTCCATTTCAATCCCTAACATGACCTCCTTCTTTCCCTTCCTGCCTCTCTCTACTCTAYTGATTTTTCTATTTATTTATTTATTCAATTTTAATTGATACATTACTAGTTATATATAAAATTGGGATACTCTGTGGTATAGTCATGCACACACCTTCTAGAATTCATTCCCCAGTTCAACCATCTTTTCTTTCTAAATTTATTTTAGAGATTGCATCTACTTTTCAATCTCTCTCAATTAGAAGCATTGACAGCGGGCTTTGCAGCATCTCACACCAGCAGCAAAGGCCTTCACACACAGATATGAACAGAAAGACATGACCACATGACTTACTAGGCCGGGCAGGAGAAAGCATTGCATATTTTGGGTTCAGTTGCTGGCTTGGTTCTTATATTGCAGAAGGAGGAATTGACTTGAGTATTTTGATCTCGTAAGCAAATGGCCTTTACATTGATATAACCTAATAAGACATCAGAAGGAACAAGAGTGAAAATTACAGATAATTAACAAGTTCAACTTGCTTTCCAAACTTAGCTTTGGATTTACCAGTGTTCTGATACTCTATTTAGGGGACAGAATCCAAAAATATTTTGTAAAAACACTTCCCTTTGATATGACTGCAACTAATTTGAATTCCATTTATCTCCAAGAWAATAAATTTTAATCATTGAGTGTGTAGATTTTTACTTTTCAAGACTATGTGGATTTCAGCATCATAAAGCGATAAATACAACTTTTTGGAAAGAGCAACCATAAAAGGAAACACCTCAGCAAGCTTTAACACATCTAATGGAAAATGTTCTTCATAGAAAACCCACTAATGAATTATGTATGAAAAGGTTAAGATTCTGCTTTGTCATGAAGCATCTTGTATTTTCTTACTGAATACATATCATGCTGCAAAACTTGGAACTCTGAATGTGCATTCCTGCCATCAGCTGGAACTGTGGGCTTGTGGAGTGGCATCTGACTGCCTTGCTTTGATTATTCATTTCAGGACTTCGTATTGGAGACTTTTTTGTGTGTATGAATTACTGCATTTTTAAGCTCCTCTAGTAAGAAAGCTGCTTCCCCTTTGAATTGTGCTTCTTTTTTTTATTTATGTGATAATTTCCCTTAAATGGACTCAGAGAAGCAAATTAAATGTTCCTCCTGCTATGATGATTGGCACTCAGTCCAGCCACTTGGGTGCAAGCAGGTTTGCTTTAAAGAGGCAGGGATCACAACTACATTGGGATTCCCAGAAATTACTGGCATACTTCCATAGAATTTATTCATCTGAAGCCACCTTCTCTTATGCCCAGGGCTTATACCACAGTCTATGAATTGCATGAAGACCTTGCTAAATCGAGGCAAGCAGGGAGTTCCCCGGGCACTTCTCCTGCATCTGTATCATGCTTGGATTTATTCCTTGTGAACTAAAAATGGATCAACTCTGTCTCTTTCCCARGATGCTATGCTCTTCCTGGAATAGCAAGAAGCCATTAGAAATGTTCTTAAAGCACATCTGATATTTGAGAAATTGCTCACAATCTGAGACTAAGAGAAAAAGGAGCAGAGTGCAAAAATCTGTGTACAGCATTATAGCTGTTCAGTAACAAAGAATACAAAATGACATTTATGTCACGTGGCTGAGACTGTCAAACCTATGAGTGTTTTCATATGTAAAAAATAGAATGATAGAAAGTATCAATGTTGCCTACTCTTGATGAAAGAAATCTGGGGGATTTTCTTTCTTTATAGCAGAGTGCAATTGAATTATTTATTAACAAAGATGTATTATCTTGTGATTATTTTCTACGTGCACTTAAAAAATATTTTCTTAATTAGCAAGGCTGCCTAAAGACAAGCCTCATAGACATAAGAATTTCTTCATTTTCTGTATCTTTGCTTTATCCTTGATTCAAAGAGACCTTGCTTTGCTGAGTGGGATGGGCCCAGGAGGAAGACCTACTGTCACCCAGTGCTCCTGATGGTAGGAAATGAGCAACCAACTATCATGCTTTGGTTTCATGGACATGTTTATGAGCATGAACTTTCAGTCTTTCTCCCAAAGGAGCAAGTGTGACAATTACTGACACCTACAAATATGTGACATTTCTGGCATCTATATAAAATTCTTTCCTTGTCCATGTTAAGTGGATGGTTGCCGTTCTTTCCTGGCACAGGTTATTTCCTGGATGGAACCCGCTTCTCTCCTGAAAGAGACTTTGTTGACCTTACCATGCCTTTACGCATGGGGTGACACAATATTCACATTTCAGATGGTCATCCTAAATTTGTCTGGTATGTGTTCTCACTTGTCTTGATCACACTGTTTATGAGCCCAGTGAAATGTCAATTACAAGAGAAAGCAGGAAAGTCAGGATTAGGAGAAAGTGAACTGTAATCTGAAAATAGAGACAGACAGAAAGACATAACAAGAGAAAGACATAACACCTCTCTCTCCCTCTTCTCTCTCTCTCTCTCTCTCTCTCTCTCTTAAAACTTACGAGGGGAAATGTATGAAATACATTTGTTCATTTGTTTATAAATACAAGCATATATATAAATGAACAAATGTATTTCATACATTTCCCCTCATAAGTTTTGAGCATGTAATTCTTGAGCTTTGGTGGTGATTGATTTGAACTTTGTGAGCATTCATTGTTTTCTACATAGGAAATTTCTCCAATAGTACAATACTTATGTTTCACAGTGATGGTTCCCCTGGAAGACAGTCACTGGGTGACTTATTTAAACCAGGCACTGTTAAAGAGTCTTGGAGTGAAGCACCCTGTTCTCAGAGGAGACAGGCTTGGAAGATGGAATCAGGAAGTGGTCTACCTCCGCCACAGGAGACGGAACAATCCGAGGGCACCGTACTCCAGGTGTGCTGGTGTCTTTTGGTGGCTGGCTGAGTTCCATTTGTGGCCTTGGGAAGTGCATACTTCCAAGCTATCCCTGGGTTTTTGCCTTGCATCAGAATCTGGGGACAGTATGAGATAAAAATCAGAGGTCAAAATACAAGTCAGACCCTGGCATTCCAGAAATCTTGCTAAACATCTTAAAGCTATTTGCAAGTCATTTTGAGCTTAAAGTCAATTTGCTTCATTGTTCCCAAGAATGTTTTATGTCGATTTAAAGGTTTCCCATGACACTTTAAAACACGATCTTTCATAAAATCAAACTATGATTTAGATAGATGCTAATATTCAAAGCACAATTTGCTATTTACCATAAGTGCACAATCTTTAACTCCAGGTATACTAATTGATAAAAAATGTATATATATATATATAAACACACACATACATACAGTTTTTACATTCAAATGAAGAAAAATTATAGAGTCAGGTCTCCACCTTAAACTTGAAGGTCTGGCACAGTCCACATCTGCTCAGTGGTTCCCACAGATGAGCAGGATGAAGTGGCACCGACACATATTCATTTTTATGATGTATCTTGGGATGTTAGTTATAAGCTCTTTCCTGACTGTCAATAGCAGGTGAGCGCAGGAGAAGTACCCCCAAGCCATAAGGATACCCCACTTAGAGTTGCCTAGCATCGACTCGAGAATCCAACAGTTTCCAAAGAGACCTTGTCCCCAAATAATGTGTCTGTTAACTGTGTCCTAGGCCTCGTAGGTACAGAAAAAAGTTGGTTGGGTAATACGTGGACTGGAATGGATTGAGTCTCAAAAACSTAAGGACTTGGGGTGAATCTGATCCCCTAAGGTCTGACTATGAGGATGAGAGCAATCTCTATCAGGTACTTTTCGGGTGTCATATACTCTGAGGGACTTTTTCTATGCATTATCTCAAAACAGTCCTCCAACAACTCTATAATGCAACTTCCCGTTTTTCCACGGAATAAAATGAGGATATGTGCAAGATCACACAAGTCACTAGACTTGTGACTAGTCAAATCTGTGCCTCAACCATGCAATAGATCACCTTGGTTTTGATGTAGGCAAAAGCCCTTTTCTTGATGCCCTTTTTTCTTAACTACTCCTTTCTTTTTTCTTCCAARCTCAAAGCATGAATATAAATAACTTGCTTTCTCCAGCTCCATCAGTCTTGTGGAAGATCCTTTACCACCAGAACTGGGCATTCATGCCCAAGAGGCAAAGCCTACTACAAGTTAAAAATAGGAACCTCTGGCTCTATCTCCGTCTGGTGGGATCCCACCTCAATTAAAGTTGGTTGGGTGGTGGCTTTTCAAGGACCTCCACTGTACCAGTTTACTTTTTAGGATGCCACCAAATGATTTCGACTTTGCTATTAGCTTCAGAGTTTCCAGGAACATTATGGTTGACACTTAAGATTCCACGGTGTGGACAACACTTGTAATGCAACAAAACAAATCCAGGTGCCACCCAGAAACAACCAACATGTTAATTGATGAACCTGTGTTTCCCTCACCCCAATTGAAACAAAATCTAAAACCACACAAAATCTATTAGCATCATTAAAAAGAACAATGTCTTATACTCATTAGCTGCCCATGAAAATCTTTTAAAAATCAAAGTCCCTGGGGTCTTTTTAGTTTTGAAGAACTTTCTAATCTTTGCTCTTCCTATTTTTGCAGCTAAGCCATACAGTTGTTCTTGGAATCATGTGTTCGACTTGCATTCACACATCTTGAATAAATACCGAGCTTCCCTTATCCAGCATTTCTAGTGTTTCTGTTAATGTTTTCATGTGGTATGAATGCAGTCACCTTAGAGTTTTATTCACCATCAAAGTAGCATTGGGGGCATTCAGAAGATAATCCTGGTGCTCCCTGATATTTTAACTCAATTTCTCCTTCATGAAAGTCTATTCCAAATCTGATACTTATGGTTGTTATTTTCTTTGTGCAACAAAAATGCAGAGATCTTGTAGAGAAGAAAATAATGTGGTGTATCACATGTACATATAGGGCAATAAAATGCAGGTGAGTTGTGTGAGACCAACAGAAAGCCTTGTCCCCTGAGGCAGGACCATGCTACTCTGCAGTGGAATCACATCACACATAGACATACAGGAGAGAAAGTGTCAGCACTACATAGAAAGAATTTTACTTACCCATCTCCACTTTCTAGACCACCCAGGCCCCCAACCAAGCTATATTCTGGTTTCTTCTGCTATAGTGGGGATGGATCCTCAATGGAAATGCAAAGAAACTATAAAAAAGGGAGTTCTTGCCTTTTGAGCTTCAGGGACTTAGATATTCTGGTGATTTAAGAATGGCTTTAGTGAAGTTTCCACAAGTACTTACAATATGTACTACTTTCACGTTTTAGAGCCTGAATACATGGCATGTGGTTTCACTGCGAAAACATGCTGTGAACATGTTGCAAGATGCATTTAAGAGAAAAATCAGATGGAAGATGAAAGCATCTGTGTTTCCCTTTATGACAAAAAATTCTCCAAGAGTTGTTTTTACCGTCTGCCTTCTCGTCTCCTCATCCACCTGTTAGGATCTTCCTCCCAACCCCATCACTGAAACTGCTCTTTCAAGGGCACCTTGTCATAACCAGGTAGTTGACAGTCCTTGTCTTACTCACCAATTGCCAACATTGAACACAGTTGATCACTTTATTTTTTTCCCTCTGACCACAAACCCCTACTTTTTACCGCTAACTTCGCTTACCTCCATTACCAGTCTCATTTGCTGAATCCTCCTTATCTCTTCTGTATTCATTGTCAAAGTGACCTTCAAACTTCAGGAAGTTTAAGTGGACCACATTTGGCTGATGGCCGCCATATTGGCTGCACAGCTGAATATGCACCTGGCCTCTAACCTCCCATTAACCTATTTGACTGCCTACCTGGCCTCTGTTCCTGAAAGTTTAAAAGGTACACCCAAGTCCAACACTGAAATCATCATCTCCTCTGGCCCCAGAAAGGCAGTTCCCCTCCTCAGTCTCCCCCATCCATTAAATGACAGCCAATTCTTCTAAATGTTTAGGTCAACATGGAGTCTGACAGTCTTCTCTGTTTTCTCACAACCCTCATTTAACAGGCCAGGACATGGGGTTATCTACACTTTCAAGACACTTCATATCACTTCTTCTGTTACTGCCACTGTCCTGACCTAAGCCACCGTCATGTCTCCTCTGACTTCCACAGTCAGGGAACTAAAAACAGCACTCCAGGGAGGAGGGGAGGTGATATCCTCCAGTGGAGGAGATGGGGCAGGCCCCTGTGAAAGATCAATTCAGTGACAGCTAATGAACAGGTTCAAAGCATAGAGCTACAGAACCTKCGTGGGCGGGAAATCCAACACTTTTGTGAAGCTGCAGGGGAGCATCCCAGGGACACCTGAAGTCACACAGCCACCTAAAGCTGCTTGGTTGCCATTAACAAACCACCTGGTTGACACTCTGGCCAAGAAGCTGCAAAGCAACCAAAAAAGAGCTTATGTTTTCTCTGCGGYTTTCTATTCCCCACAAAGAAACCGTCAGATGGTGTTTCCCGCCACCCTTTCCCCCAAATTAAAATGGAAACACGAAAGGAGCCTCAGAAAAATGAAATACATGAGCTAAAAGGAAGAACAGCACTGAACAGAAAAATCTGAAGGCAGCAGGGGGAATGAGTCCATTTCCTATTATCCAGGTTATAAGGCACCTATGTATCCAGCCAGAGCAAGATGAGAAATGGCACAAGGTGCTGCAAATGTTCACAGGAACAGGCAACTTTAAATTAGCAACTCATAAAACACGTGGTAGCTGGAGGCCTGCGTGTGTGTGTGTGTGTGTGTGTGTGTGTGTTCCATTACAGCTTTATAGCCACTGGCATGTATAGCACATTTGCTATTCTTAAATATAACAATGCCTTCAGTGAATGCATACGTAAATAAAAGCCACTCAGCTTTACAACATCAAGGATTCAAGGCTTGACTTCAGAGTCTATGGAGCTATCCATTCACAGGCAGAGCTGTGTGATCATGTGGGCTCGGAGACAATATCTGTGAAGACCAGGAGCAAGCTCACTTAAGAATTTACTATGACATCAGTTCACCAAGGGCCTCTTAAAGGAAGTCAGAGCTCAAGCAGGTAGGCAAGGAGGCCAGGTGCATAAAAGGTGAGCACATGCAATTATCACACAGTATTATTCTCTTCTCAGGACGAGTTCTCTTCTCTGCCCTTTTCCTTATTCTGTATTATTAAGGAGGAAGGGGACTAGGGACAGAACAGAGTAGTTGCCTCCTATCTTCTATGTCATGCTTGCAATTCCTGGGACACAGGCTGCCTGCCTGGCTGAAAAAATCTCCGTGGGTCTCTCCTGTTCTCAGAGAGACATCATTTTATTAAAGAAATCAGTCTCACCCTCAGGAATAATGACCCGTCATTTATGGATCCAATACAAAATGAAAATTCAAGACCTTTAGCAGAGCGTTAAAGCAAACCTAGGGCTCTTCTGAGCACCAGGTCACCTGCGGCTCTATAGGTTCCAAGGCCACGAAACCAGTTCTACCAAACTTAGAATCTGGGATCTCCTCACGTGGATTTTGAGTCCATGAGTCAATTTTTCTCAAATTCTAAATGACCCTTTGGGCTAATAATAACTTCTCCTTGCCTTCACAGACGGAGACCATATGCTCCAAATTGCTGGCCTGGTTTACACCTAAGTACATCAGTGTGACCCTCATTTTAACTACACACAGCACCTCCACTGGGAAGTAGGAGGAGCTAGCAGAGGCATGCACTAGCACACGGCTGAGAGTCCAACTTCTAAGAGTTCTGGAGAATGCACCTTTGCACAGGACATGATTTGAAAATGAATACCCACCACCTATGAATATTTTTAAACCTTTTCAGAGACCTTGTCAAGAGCACTCTGGGTCCTAGGAGCACCCATCCTGCCGTCACGGCATGACGTCACAATGATGCCACTCCCGACCATCCCAAGGCTGCACGTCAGACGGTGTAGCCAAGCTGTTAAATGCACAAATCTGGAAAGACTGCCAGTGATTCCSTCTACTTAACTGGATTTAATCCAA